GTTTGGTGGGGCTGTGCCAAAGGGCCTGATTCTGAGCTGAGATATTTGCTGAAGTAACAAAAATCCTAGGAACACCAGTCGCAAAAACACCTGGAATAGCGCCATTAGGTGGATTTAACAGTAATAATCCATGATTATTATACAAGCACCTAATTGGCCACCTATTAATGGCAGCAGGGATTTTGAAGCTGAATGCTAAGAGTTTGAAAATTGCAAAATGCTGGTGCAGTGCTGAGGGACTCAACATCAAGGCACAATATGCCCAAGTGTGGTGTGCTAGTAAAGAAACTGACCAATCAAATTAGGGCTGCTAGAGGCAAACTAAACTTTTTTCAGTTTATATAATAACTGAAAGACTTTCGTTGACTTTGTGCAACAAGAAGACAAGAAAAGATCATCACCAAAGTCTCTTGCAAATTTGTGGGATGATTTATTGAACCAAAATAGCACAATTTCTGGGACAATTGTGGTTTTGAATCTTTCTTGATTGTGTGGTCTGTTGTGGTTTTTTTTTGTTGGTTCTATAATATCTTTGACCTGGAAAGAAGCTTTAATGAGGCTTTCACATTGGTGCGTTGGTGGTCTTTTATTCAACACATGAACAAGGACTCCAGCAGCCAATCAGTAGCTGCCACATTCCACAATGTGCGGCTCTGGTGATTTTTTCACTTGATTGTGCTTCCTGCTTCAGTGTTCATTGAAATTCTGTTATAAATTCCAACTGTTACATGCCTTCATGTTGGGAGGGGGGAATGTTCTGTTTAACTGTAATTAATATGCAATTCAAGGCATGTTCTTGTAGGACAGGGCTGTTGAGGTTTTTTTTAAGGACCCCAAAGTTGTTGAGGTTTTTTTGGGGGGGGGGCAAGATGATCCCGTGAGCCCTGGTGTAGGAGAAAGCTTAAGAAAAAAAGAAAATGAAAAAGCAGGTGTTGAAGGGCAATAATGGCTGCATCCTAACTGTTTCTCCAAAGCCCCCACACTAGGGCATTCCCCCATTGAAGAACAGAGCTGTGTATGCCTCTCGTTGCCCACCTAAACTATCTGGCTGCAAAAGCTGCAGTGGAGGATTCTAGCTAGCCACTAGGAATGCAAGAAACAATCATTTCCCATTCTGCCTGGTCTTTGTTGCATGCATCACTGTTGACATTCTGCTGCACTTCATCTTCTGGCAACAATGACATTAGTCTCTTTGCAAAACTGTGGCAAAAGCATGTAACATGTAACATGTGGCAAAAACATGTAACATGTGGCATGTAACATGTAACACTGTGGCAAAAGCAAGTAACATGTAACATGCATAATGTAACATGCATAATTTGTAATTACTTTGTCGTGTTATGACAAATTGGTCATGTTATGACTAATTCATTTCAATGCAAAGGAAACACAGTGCAAATTGCCAGGGGCAGGGGCGGGAGCTAATAAATTACATATTGTTTGCAGTCTGAAAAAAACAATTCTCTGGATTCATTTCTGTTTTGGAGACGGGGTGAATAAGTGAACATTTTCAGTCCTGTTTCTATTTATAATTTATAATCATCCAACATCAACACCTGTTTTCAGTGAAGATTTCAACAGCCAGTCTGGCTGTCCGTTGTATACGGAAGTGGCAGTGCTGGAGACATAAACAAAGCAGAACTACATAAGGGTCTGTTTTACACTTGGGCAAATCTTCTGCGAATCAAATATTTTCACTCTACTCCCAGTCATAATTCAAAGTGCTGTTTTTGACGTATGAGACCAGAATGTCTGAAGAACTGTCTGCTGCCATAAGAAACTCCTGTCAGTTAAGATCAGATCAGATGGGGATTCCTTCTCCGCTGCCTCCATCTTTAGAAGTTAGGTGGGTGGTCACCTGGCCACTGAAAGCAATGAGATGAATTAATCATGGCCAACTTATTCTTACTGATTTTGAACAATGCAACAAATCATATCTGGAGTATGCCCACAGTGCAAGAGGGATCACTGGTGCCTGCTTTATGGCCACCTTGAATTCTCTATAAAGTTTGGCTGTTGGGTGATGAAGGTAGAGCATGAACATATATTGGCCATTGTGCCAAATGTGATTAACTGGATTTATTGAGTCTTCCCATTTATTATGTAAACATAACCTATGTCTTTAATTTCAGCAACATTACTCCCAATTATCTAATACAAGCAACTGATTTTATTTTAAACCTTTTAACAATTATTTGAAGCATTAAAATATTTGTTGTTGTTTAGTCGTTTAGTCGTGTCCGACTCTTCGTGACCCCATGGACCAGAGCACGCCAGGCACTTCTGTCTTCCACTGCCTCCCGCAGTTTGGGCAAACTCATGCTGGTAGCTTCGAAGACACTATCCAACCATCTTGTCCTCTGTTGTCCCCTTCTCCTTGTGCCCTCCATCTTTCCCAACATCAGGGTCTTTTCCAGGGAGTCTTCTCTTCTCATGAGGTGGCCAAAGTATTGGAGCCTCAGCTTCAGGATCTGTCCTTCCAGTGAGCACTCAGGGCTGATTTCCTTAAGAATGGATAGGTTTGATCTTCTTGCAGTCCATGGGACTCTCAAGAGTCTCCTCCAGCACCATAATTCAAAAGCATCAATTCTTATGATGGTCATCCAAACTGAATTCACCCATTCCCGTCCATTTTAGTTCACTGATGCCCAGGATGTCAATATTTATTCTTGCCATCTAATTTTTGACCACATCCAACTTACCCAGGTTCATGGTTCTTACATTCCAGGTTCCTATGCAATATTTTTCTTTACAGCATTGGACTTTCCTTTCGCTTCCAGGCATATCCACAACTGAACGTCCTTTCGGCTTTGGCCCAGCCACTTCATCAGCTCTGGATCTACTTGTACTTGTCCTCCGCTCTTCCCCAGTAGCAATGTTGGATGCCTTCCGACCTGAGGGGCTCATCTTCCAGTGTCATAACTTTTATATGCCTGTTGTCTTTGTCCATGGAGTTTCCTTGGCAGAGATACTGGAGTGGCTTGCCGGTTCCTCCTCCATGTGGATCACGTTTGGTCAAAACTCTCCACTATGACCTGTTCATCTTGGGTGCCCTGCTCGGCATAGTTCATAGCTTCTCTGAGTTATTCAAGCCCCTTCGCCACGGCAAGGCAGTGATCCATGAAGGGGCATTAAAATATACAGCAAGCTTATTAGGATATCTGCAGTCAGCCAATATTATAAGTGAGGGGAAGGGGAAATAATAAAAGAATGAAAGCAATATATGTTGTGAACTAAATTAACTGGTCAGAAGTTGTGTCCAGGATAGCCCTCCAGATTATGTGGACTACCAAGGCCAGTATCACTGGCCATTGGTCATATTGCCTGCAGCTAATGGAGCTTGTAGGCCACAATATCTGGAGAACATCAAATTAGTTATCCCTGGGAAGGTAGGTAGGAGTGGGTGGGTGGGTGCGGGCCTTTCTTACTCACACCATTGGCAACACCTATCTTCTCTTGATGTTTCTTAATATTCCAATCAAGTCAAACTTTATTCCACTGTTCTGCAGATGTGGCCATTGGACAGTAATCTTCCTTTGGTTCTAAGTAATGCTTTTAAAATGCAAAAGAGACTATGAGCTACTAGTATTTAGAGCATGTTGATGGTGATGCATAAAGAGACCTTCAAGCCAGGCTATCCGAATCTCGTACCATGAGCTGTTATCTTTGTCTTGCAAAAACACATTCCAGAGTGTCTGCATAAGAAAGGGAGGTGTTATGTACTGAAGTTTTCACCCTGGGCCAGCAGGTGGATACTGTAGATAGTTATGCAAATGAAGGATCGAAAGTGACGTTCAGTGATTGGATGGATACTGTAGATAGTTATGCAAATGAAGGATCAAAAGTGACGTTCAGTGATTGGATAGTTTTAGAAAGTTGTTACAGTAACGTGGTACTGGAGCTCTATATAAGCAGGCTGACTGAGCCCTTCAGTTCAGTTCTGTCCTGGCCTGTGAATAAACAAGAGCTGTTTGAAGAATTGCTGTGTCGTCTGATATGTTCACCCACAACTTAACACTGGCGATGAGGATGGGATCGATGGACATCAGAGCACAGCCAGAAGCAGCCACCCTCTGAACGGAGCTGAATCACTGAGCTGAATCACTGAGCGAAATCACTGAACAGAAGCAATTCAGAGCTGACAATTCTGGCTAGAGCACAGTGTTCCATCCATCGCCCTCTATGCTGGCATCGGAATCATGGCTTCACTTGTGCCTCTACCGCCATTTGCGCCAGCCTCTGAATCATGGGACTCCTACCTCGCTCGGTTCGACTGCTACCTCCAAGCCAACGAGCTGACGCAAGTATCACAGGAGCGTAAGCCTATTCCTCAGCCTCTGTGGGCCTGAGGTGTTCGAGATGGCCCGAGCATTGGTTGCGCCTGTAGCAGACCAGGCAACACCGAGAGAAGCTCTGCAACCACTACGCACCAAAGCCGTCCAAGATTGCTGCCCGCCATGCGTTCTACCACCGGAACCAGGCAGAGGGGGAGTCAATCAACAACTACCCCACCACCCTCCGACAGGCTGCAATGCACTGCGAGTTCCGAGACTTAGACAATGCCCTGATGGATCGAATCGTCTGCGGGGTCCGGGACATCCATCTGCAACGGCGTCTCTTCGCCAAGCCAGACCTCACGCTGCAGAAAGCCATTGAGGAGGCCGTGGCCTCGGAAGCTGCGGAACGCTCCGCCCAGGAGATCCGCAAGGCCAGCAGCCCGCCTCTTGCTAGGAAGCTAGTTCCAGTGCATCACGAAGAGGCCAGCAGTGATGAGGCATCCTCCAGTGAAGACGATGACGTGCACCAGAAAAAGCGGGAGCGCAGGAAGTTCCAAAAGAAGTCCAAGGGCCAATTGGAATGTGCCAGCTGCGGAGGCAACCATTTCCATGCCAAGTGTCGATTCAGAGATGCCATCTGTCAGAAGTGTTCCAGAAGGGGCCACATCGCTAAGGTCTGCAGATCGGCTCCGTCTGACACCCCCCCCTTCACCGACTCGCAAGTCCAAGTCTTCAGTCCAGTCCGCCAAGGAAAGCTGTTTCGCTCTCACCAACTGCCGCTGCCCGTCTGGAACCACGATTGGCCAAACCGACTCGCCTACGCAACGCAAGTTGAACGTCACGGTGCTCATTGAAGGAGCTCCATGTGACATGGAGATCGATACCGGGTCTGCCCTGTCCATCGTGTCTTGGAGCACCATCAAAAGACTGGTACCCAGAGTGTCCAAAAGGCAACTCGACTCTCACCGCGTACACCTGAGAGACTACCAGGGAAACGACATTCCCGTGGTAGGCGTTGGCTGGTTCCGGATCACCTTCAAGGATTTTTCAGGCCTGCTCCGACTCGTGGTGGTCGAAGGTCAGTGGCCAAGCCTCCTAGGGCTAGACTGGTTTGATGCCCTCGGCCTGGAAGTCACCAGCATCAGCTGCATCTCTAATGCAGAGACTGAGGGTCTGGTCAAAGACTTTGCCGAGGTTTTTGACAGCACTTTGGGGCAATATACAGGTACACCCATCTCCTTTAGCCTTGATCCACAAGTTGCCCCCATCAAGCTAAAGCCACGCCAGGTTCCTTTTGCTCTCAAGGCTAAGGTGGACAAACAACTGGACAAGCTGATCGCCCAAGGAGTTTTGGAGCCGATTGACCATGCCAAGTGGGAAACCCCCATCGTCATGCCTGTCAAGCCGGACGGGTCGGTGAGAATCTGCGCCGACTACAAGTGCATGATCAACAAGGCACTTCAGCAGCACGCTTACCCGGTTCCTGTTGTTCCACACCTGCTGCATTCCTTGGGTGAGGGTAAGGTCTTTGCTAAGCTGGACCTTGCCCAAGCCTATCAACAACTGCCCATCGATGATGGGCTGATGCTGAAGCCCAGACAATCGTCACCCACCGAGGGGCATTCCGTTGCCACTGTTTGCAGTTCGGGGTGAGTGTGGCTCCTGGCATCTTCCAAAGCCTTATGGAGCGTCTCCTGCAAGGGCTTCTGGGTGTGGTACCATATTTTGATGATGTCTTGGTGTCCGCAGACTCACACCAGCAGCTGTTTGAGCGCCTCCGCGCCGTGCTGACCAGGTTCCAGGAGGCCGGGCTCAAGGTAAAGAGGGAGAAGTGCCAGATCACCGTTCCACAGGTGGAGTTCCTGGGCTATCTTATCGACGCCTCCGGCCTTCACCCGACCACATCCAAGATCTGTGCTATCCAGCAGGCCCCCATCCCAAAGAACAAGACAGAGTTGCAGGCACTCCTGGGACTGCTGAACTTTTATAACATGTTCCTACCCCACAAAGCCATGGTGGCTGAGCCTCTCCACCGACTCCTCAGCATGAAGACACCTTGGTCCTGGGGTCATCGGGAGACGGCTGCCTTCAACGTGGTCAAGGCTCTTCTTTCATCGGAGAGTGTGCTGGTACAGTACAAGTGAAGCCAGGCCGCTGGTCCTTGCCTGCGCCGCCTCACCTTTTGGCATCGGCGCTGTCCTTAGTCACCATTTTCCAGACGGAAGAGAAGCACCGCTCTCCTACTTTTCCAGGACGCTATCTCTGACTGAACGGAATTACAGCCAGCTCGACAACGAGGCACTGGTGGCTGGAGTGAAGAGGTTCCATGAATACCTCTACGGCAGGACTTTCGACCTCATCACCGACCACAAGCTGCTCCTGGGCCTCCTCGCCAGTGATCGACCAACTCCACCAGTCCTTTCGCCACGCATGCTGCGATGGACTGTTTTCCTGGCTGCCTACCACTATCGGCTCGTCCATCACCCGGGGAAATTGATGGGCCATGCTGACGCCCTCAGCCGTTGCCCTCTTCCAGCGTTTGTGGAAGACCTGGCTCCTGCTTCATTGTTCCTCCTGATTGAGGATCTTCCAGCAGCACCTGTATCGGCTGCCACTGTGGCCTCACGTCTGCCCAGGATTGCACCATCAGCGGTGTACTCAACTGGGTGTGGCCACAAGGGCCTTTTGCATTGGAGTTCCAGCCCTTCGCAACCAGACAACACGAATTCTCGGCTCATCACGGCTGTCTGCTGTGGGGAGACCGCGTCATGATTCCCCAAAGACTACGTCAATGCGTCCTTGAGGCTCTGCACGTTGGCCACCCGGGAATCGTCAAAATGAAGGCGTTGGCTCGGTGTTACGTCTGGTGGCCTAACATGGACGATGCCATCACTGCCTGGGTTTCCGCCTGTCAAGTGTGCCAAGAATCGAGGCCTGCGCCACCGGCAGCTAAGGGACACACCTGGGAGACACCCAAGACACCCTGGTCGAGGGTGCACATCGATCTGGCTGGACCTTTTCGCGGCCGGACCTGGAGGTGGCCCTGATGCCCTGATGCCCTCCACCACTACCGAGGCCGTCATCTGGGTGCTGCAAGGCCTCTTTGCGACGCATGGGTGTCCTGATGTCCTTGTCTTCGACAACGGACCGCAGTTCACGTCAGGCACTTTTGAGCGGTACCTTTTGGGACTGGGCAACTGCCATGCCCTAATGGCACCATTTCATCCATCCAGCAACGGGCAAGCAGAGAGAATGGTGCGCTCGGCAAGAGGCACTGGGGCGCCTGGACCGGGGAGACTGGCACGAGCTGGTCACCGAATACTTGTTCGTGCAACACATCACCCCTCATGCGGCCACAGGGCGGAGTCCTGCCGAACTGCTTATGGGCCGCCGCCTCAGGTCCCCGCTCGACCGGCAGCACCCGGACTTTGCCATGGCCGAACCCCCAGGCTGTGCCAATGCGCCACGGTCATTTGTTGCAGGAAACCAGGTCTTTGCCCGGAACTTTGTGGGGGACATTCCTTGGGTGCCAGCCACAGTAGTGGGAGTCACTGGACCTCACTCGTACCAGGTGGCACTCGAAGACGGACGCTTGTGGCGCCGGCACATAGACCAGCTTAGGCGCAGGGTTGGATACTTGGGACACTACCGTGGGGCCCCCAACTGCGCTCGTGGCTCCGGAACAGACACTTACAGATGGCGAGGCTCCACCTACACCTCCCTCGCAGACTGTGGGCGTGGAGCCGAACCAAGCCGCTTCAGAGGGTCTGCCGGACTTCCCACAGACTCAGACCACTGCTGTGCCTGACATTCCGCCAACTCCACTCGCGGAGGTTCCACCCACAGCAGTGGATCCAGGGGACTTGGTTTCAACGCCACCTTGGGTCGCGCCACAGCCTCAGCAAGAATCGGGCAGCCCACCGGACCTGGGTACCGCTCCCCAGCAGTCTGGCAGAGTTTCCAAGCGCCCAACTTATTTAAAGGAGGACATGTAACACTGTTGGTCTAAGTATGTGGAAGTATGTGAAATGTAACCGATATGCTTTTGTGCCCAATTGAACCTAATTGTTCACTCCTGGCAGCCAATGATTTGTGGGTATCTTTAAAGAGAAAAAGCTGAGGAGGCAAATGGTAGATTTTGGTTTTTTGATGAAGCATTTTTCTTTGGGGGCACCATACTTGTGGGCAACCCCTAGCTTAGAAATACAGACCAAGATGCCTCTGAGCACATGCTCAGCCCATGAATTTGTATTGGGATGAGGACTGGTCTGAGTCCTCATAGTCAAATCACTCCTGGTTTCTTTTCTCCATCCCTTGAGGGTTTTTTTTTCCTTCATTTCAGCAACCTAACTTACCCCTGAAAAGGCCATTTTGTTAAGCAATTGTTAAACTACTAGAAGTCAAAAGCACTTGCTGATATCTCTAGATCTGTGTGACAATCCTGTAGGGCAATCTATGATGAAATCTGGTGACTGGCCCAAGGTGAGCTTCATGGCTCAATGAGGATTTAAACCCTGGTTGTCCCAACACTCAAACCACTGCATCACACTGACATCTGGGCACTTACACAGAAAAACAATTAGTTGCACTGCACCAGATTAAACTGGTACAGCTGTTAAAACATTTGGGAAAGACAGCAATCCCTTTTCCTCCCCCTCTCTTACAAATTGGAAATTAGATCATAGGCAGCCTGATGAAAAGCAAAGCACTCACGATGACATGGAGCAGTGCAAAATCTCACACGCCATCTCCTGTAGCTATATATAGTCCTGCAGACTTTCAGTTAGGTCTTTACAAAACTCCTGGCAACAGCCTTTTAGGAAGACTGAGACAAAATTAGACAACAAATGTTTCAACAGATGGCCAAGAGTGCTTTTGCTGAGGGTGCCAATAGTGTTTATATGGGGCCTTTCCACACCTGATTAGGGTTTGAAGGTGAACTGGAGTTTTGTGCAACAAACACACTGCTTGTGTACACACACATGCTGTGATTTCCCTTGCAGGTTTTTCAAGAGGAAACATGAGCCCAACAAAGGGGTGATCATTGTAGTGATTATGAATCAGCTATTAAATCATATGCTGTAACTGTTCCTGGTGAAAAACTACCTTTACTTATTTTGCACTTTAAAATATGCTGCTATTGTATAGACTCATACGGGGGTGGATCTGTCCATTTCAGTCCTTGCAGTTGCTTGCTCTTCTAATCTTAAACACATTTCTCCAGATTTCTGCAGCAATTTGCAATTTAAAGAAATCCTGATGAAATTTTATCATCATCTTAATGTAACTTCTCCGAAATAAGCACATTTGTATGCAGTTTTGACTAATTACAAATTTTCCAAGCATGTGGGTTTTGTATGTCATTTTCACTAAAATATTCACTTTTATGCACATTTTTCCTAATATACGCATATTCAGATAAGTACAGATTTAGAAGCATGGATGTGTTTCAGTTTTCATATTGTTTTGGAAAGTGCAAATTTTAAAGATTTGTGTTTAAATGTAAACAGAATCAAATTTCTCCCATTGTCCCTACATTTCGCATTTGGATTTGCATCTTCTCCCCAATGTACCTGAGAGCAGAAGTGGTAGGATGGCGGGGAAATAGCTGTCCCATTTGAAGATGTTGAATTGAGGTGGTTATTTCATTGTGGTTTAGAAAGCTGAGATTAGCTCTCACCCCCACAAAATGTAAAAAGAATGTGCCCAGGATGCTTTTTTTATATAAAAAAAGTTTTTTATTAACAATTTCAACATATCAAAATATCAAAACATATATTATTTTTTCCCCTTTTCCCCCCACCTCCCCATCAAGCCCTCCCTCCCTGCCGAGACTTCCCACAGCTCCTCTCTCTGATTTTTCAACACATATTTTTCTCTGCATACTGTAAAATTGTAGAAATCCTTATATTATCTATCTGTTATGTTAACAATCAATAAATTTGTGTATGTTTATTCAAAACCTGCCAAGGAGTCCAATTCATTTTGTTGTCTTTTTAAATACTTTGTAAAATTTCCCATTCTTCTTTAAAGTCACAGTTGTCCTTATCTCGCAGTTTGTATGCCAATTTTGCCAGTTCTGCACAATCCATCAATTTCTCTTGCCACTGTTCTTTTGTCAGGGTTTCCTCGTTCTTCCATCCTTGTGCTATTGCCGCTGTTGTTGCATACATAAATAAATTCTTTATTTTCCTTGGCAGGTCTTGTCCTACAATCCCTAACAGAAATACTTCTGGTTTTTTAACAAATGTTATTTTAAACATTTTCTTCAATTCATTATATATCATTTCCCTTTTTAAAAAAATTTCTCTACATTCCCACCACATATGATAAAAAGTCCCTTCCTTTTCCAACATATGTTTGACCTGGTTTTATACATTTTTGCTATCTGTACTGGTGTTATATAGCATCTATACATAATTTTCATATAATTTTCTTTCAAAAGGGCACAATCTGTAAATTTTAAATCTGTTTTCCAGTTTTTCCCAATCCTCAAATTGTATGTTATGTCCTATATCTTGTGCCCATTTGATCATGACCGATTTTTTTAAAAAAAAATTATTATAAATTTTATTAGTATTTTCCACACAACACGAAAAATATTAAAAAATAACAATACACAAAACACAAAAACCGATATTCAAAAAAACCAAAAAACCAAACCATATCTTACAAGTTAATAATATAAACACTAAAAAGAAAAACAAACATTGACTTCCACCAATCCCACAGCACCTCCTTTACCTCTCATTGTGTCTTCCTGTTTTCCTTATCATCTCTATCCTAGCATCTAGATATAAATCCCTTTTTCTTATCCTTTCACTTCACAAGGTTATTCCAGACTCAGCCAGATTTCTGTCCTCAAACATTGGCTTTTAAGGTATTCATTTAGACACTCCCATTCCTTTTTCACTTCACTTTTTGGTTTTTGTCTTATTATACGTATCTGTCAATTTGGATAATTCTAAATTTTCTGAAAGCTTACATAACCACTCTCCCCTAGTGGGTAACTGATTTCCTTTCCAATACTTAGCCACCAGGATTCTTGCTGCAGACGTCACGTATAGGAAAAAATTTGTTTTGTCTTTTGGAATATCATTTAAAATTCCTAAAAGGAATGCCTCTGGCCTTCTACTATATGATATTGTTACGGAAATTACGGGGGGGGCACATCTTTAAAGTTAAATATTACAAATATTATGCCTGAATATATCCTTTCAACTTGACAGCTCAGGGAAGTCACCTAGCTTTAAAAATAATATAAAATCATCTCCGTTCCCAGTTTCCTCCATTCCAAAGCTATTTTCCCCTTGCAAAAGCACTCCAGGAAGTTCTCAGAGGTGACAATTGCTGGGCTCATTGTTAGCCGAAGGAAGCCAAATCTCATCACCTGACTCGCCTCAGGCTCCAGACATGCAAAGGAACTTCTATTGTACTTTTGGGTGGTGGTACTTAAGAAATATTTCTCTATGCTAATCTTATGCCTGAGTCTTGCCCTGCCATGTCTGCTTATGCTAATCTTGTACCAAGGACTTGTCTGGACATGTTTTCCAAGGTTGAACTAGTGTAACCCCTGTCTACCCCTCCCCTTTTGTGACATGTCAATGATGCTGTACGAACTGTATTCTGGTGGGAAAGTTTTAAAAGTCTTTGTCACCCCATCCTCGGGGTTCAAATTTGCTTTTTGAACCTATTGCGCAATAAACTTTGGTCGACAGCTATTTGCTCCGGTTGGCTGGACTCCTTCCTTTATTCCGCAGGGACCCGCGGGCTCTGCCCGACGAGCTGGGTGACTGAGCAGCCTCACACCTAGATTTTTCCTTAACAGATATTCTTAGCATTTTCTTTATTTCCTTGTGGATCATGCTCCAAAATTTCCCAATTTCGGGGCACGTCCACCACATAATGTAGAAGGTTCCTTTTTGTTTCTTACATCTCCAGCACTTATTGTTGTATGTTTTATTCATTTTTGCCAGCCTTTCTGGTGTCAGATACCACCTGTGATGCATTTTCATATAGTTCTCTCTTATTAGGTAACATGCTGTAAAATTTATATTTTTTTGTCCATAGTCTTTCCCATTCATTATATTCAATTGAGTAGCCCAGATCTTGTTCCCATTTTTTAATAGCATTGCCTTTTTCCTCCTTTTCTATTTTCCCATTTTGTAACAATTTATATATTTTTGAGAGAGTCTGAGAGTTTGATAGATTTCCTTCTCCCATACCAAGATTTTTTTATCAAACCCCTTAAGCTTATTATCCTTCTCAAATACTGTTTTTAATTGGAAATATTCTAACCAATTCACCCCCCTCTCTTTTAATTCTTCAAATTTCTTTACTGTCGGGCAATTCTTTATCTCTTCTACAAGTTCCCTATATGTTAGCCAACTGTCTTTCATATTATTACTATGCATGGCTGATGACTCTATAGGTGATAGCTACCAGGGAGTTTTGGCTGTTACTATTGTTTTATTTCTTTTCCAAACTTCGAATAGGGCCTTTCTCACCAAATGATTAGTGAAGCCTCTATGTGCTTTTATTTTATCGTGACCCAGGTAGCCATGCCACCCGAAAACTTTGTCCCAGCCCTCCAGGTCTAAGATTTCCGTATCTGTCAGTAACATCCAATCTTTCAGCCACGCCATGCATGCAGCCTCAAAATACAGCTTGACGTTTGGGACTGCGAACCCACCCCTTTCTCTAGGCTCCATCCATACTTTAAACCTTACTCTTGGCTTCTTACCTTGCCAAATAAAATGAGAAAGATCCCTTTGCCAGTCTTTAAAACATTTTGTCCTAATAATTATT